ATTCAAATATTTGACGCTTGGTTCTCAATTCTCTGCACATTAGTTTGTCTTCTATTGAAGAAAGTAACATAATACGAACTGGTTGTTTGCTGTAAACTTCAAAGGAATCATTTGAGGTTTGTTATTTGCGTTTCGCAGGTTCCGATATGTTTGCTGTAAGGATTAGTTTTGTGCTCTGACCCTCTGCTTTACCCGACTACAGCTTATTAGAGAAGCCAACTCATCTCAGATGCAAGGGCAATGGAGCACATTAGGTAAATCTTTTCCTTTTTCAGGTTTACCCATTTTGCTTTTTGATATGCTTTGTGACTGAATTAGTTTCTCTAAGGGCATGCTCGGGGAATCATTGTAGATCTTTATGGTGGGTTTAGGTGAGGTACCAGCATTGATCATGTGACCGTGGGGAATAACGCTTCCTAGCTTTTCATCTACTGGGCAACAAATAATGGTGGTGGAATCAATGTACATAAAGGGCATCATCTCTAAACCATTGTGAGTATTCAATTCATTTAACCATTCGTTCCCTGCCTGTTTTTAAACAGATTATAGTTGACATTAGGTGGTTCTCTCTAGGGGCTTCGGATCGGTATTTTACGGCAATGTGGTATGTATTAAGTTACAGTTGATTTATAACTTGTAGAAATGTGTAGTTTTGTTTGGTAAAAACAATGCCTCAGATGGTTCCAATAAAATGTCTAGATCAAACAGAGTTCCAAGCAAGATGTTTGTTGTAGATTAGTAATTGGATTGACTTATTGTGTTGTAGTGTTCAATTTGAGCAAATAATCAAAATCATGGATTTCACATAGATATCAATCACAACTGAGGGTAGGTAACTGAATCTGAATCACTGCTGAAACTACTTACATGATGTGGTCTTTAATGAATTTGATGCTTATATCTCTCATAGTGTTCATGTAGTTTACGTGAGCATCATGGTCAATCCACTCTCGGGTTCGAGATGATGACGAGATATCATGTTCCTATTTTATATCCTATGAAAAACTCTTGCTTGGTCTGGATGTAATCGAATGTTCACCACATTCTAAATTCCTAGGTTTTAACTCTTTTGGAATTTGAATTGTGGCTTGATAGGCTATTCTGAGAATCTGATGCATGGTTCTCTCTTTGCTAAACTATAGTGGCAGGTGAAGAAAGGAAGCTTCTATTGCATAATTATTATCCAGATTCTATTGAATTGAGCTTGGTAGGTTGCGATAGTAAGGAGATGCGACTAACTCATTGCGGGAAGAGTGATATGACTTGTGATCGTTTCTTATTTTAGGTAGGGGTTAGTTTCAAACTAAGGATTCGGCAAACCTTAAATGTTGTTTCTTTCATGATTTTTTGTAGTTAGGCTGTGGATTTGGTCTCCAAGCCCACTCCAATTGACATATCCTATATTTTTAGGACTATAGACAGATTGGTTTCCTCTTTACATGAGTTTGAGTTCTTAATTGCTTGGTGCCCTTGCATCAACGTTTTGATATATAACTTAAAGTTTAGATTACTCTGTTGAATTTAACTGAATGCCTAGGATGAGGAGGTTGCAGAATCTGATCTTGTAGTTTTGTATTAGCTTGATTGAGGCTATAGGGAAGGCCTCCATTTCTGGTTCTCACGACACCATTTTTGCTCTACATTCATGTGCATGAGGTGGATCCATTAATAGGGGCTCTACAATATCTCAAGTTCTTGGAAATGATTGTTTTCTTTCTATAAGATATGTTTTTAAAATACTAGATTTCATGTTGTTTAGCATCGTTCTTAATTTAGGATGAAAGTGTTGATTTTTTAATATTTGAAGTGTTTTTATTGGTTGCATAATTTTGATCATTGGTTTGCAGAGTATGATATTATATTTTTCTCTTATGATCTTTATGCGTCGGGTGAAAGACTCAAATTTCATCGACATAATCTCAAAATTTTAGCTCAATATTCTTAGCTCCATTATGTATCTTTTTGTAAGGCTGCTGGGGTTTATTCCGTGTTCGCCCAACGTTTTCTGAGGTAGAAGCTGTGATGTTTGGTTTGGATTTTGATTGTTGTTTTAGCTGGTTTTGGGACAGACCCTGGGAAAGTAGAATTGGGCGCTTTTCTATTCCTTTCCAAAATACCTATATTCTCTAGCTATTTTCCATGATTTAATTTAGCTTTTATGTAAGCCTTTAATAGTTGTTGGCTTGTGTGTCCACAAGTTGTTCACTCAAGAATCAAGTGGATGGTTCCTTACAGATGCTATGTTTAGTAGACCATCTTTCATCAATTTTCTTCAATACCTGAGGAGGTTAACGATCGAGAAGAACATGATTTTTTGCCTCTGTTTGTGTGTTTGGTATGTTAAACTGTTGCACAATTGATTGATGGTGTCAACTGTATCCATGGTGGTGCCAAAACAACATATGGTAGAGTGACAAAAAAATGTATCTCATGGATTGTTCAAAGAGGTAGCTCCAATCTATGCTTTTCACTCTCTTATGATTCTTATTTCTTTCTATTGAATTGCATGCTCCTCTTATTGCTAGGGAGTTGATCATTGGGGATTAAGATAAATGAGCTAATGATTTTTGTTGTTGCAGATGTTATGTTCATGTGCTTTCCTTCTGGATAGAGTTGACACTCCAAGCCCAATGGAGATTAACATATTCAAACAAATTTTATTTAGAGTCACTACCCAACATTCATATTTATCAGTATAGGGATTGATTCGATGGTTTGATGACACCTTCACATTTCAGAAGCACAAGGTGGTTAAAACTTAGAGTGCTTGCCTTTATTTTGTATTTTTGTTTCTCATTTAACATGTGTTGCGTACATGTGTTTTTGCCTTGCAGGAGATGCTAGCAAGTCTTGAAATGGAGCTCGACTTCTGACTGATGACAGGGTGAATAGCTATGCTATATTTGTTCTTTTGGTCATGTTAATACAAAGGAAAGAACACCCTTGTGGTATCGTTGTAGATAGTGGGTTGAATTCGAACAGAAATGCCATTTCTACTAATTATTTTAGTTATGATGTTTCTGGAATTGAATTGATCTTTACAAATGGGATTGATTGCCCATGTTAAGTTAGCATTGCGGTGTTTGGCAGGTAAAAAATTAGTAGTACAAATTCCTTGATGTGTTCGGAACACTGGTTTCTCCAAAGCTTCGAGCTTCCCAACAGTCATTTGAGAAAGGTAAACTAATGTACCTGACTCAAGCAGCTAACATTTTGGTGATACTTACTAATGTCTGACATGGTTGTGAAACAATTGACATGATTGTAGAGATAACGAGTTTGTCTTTTCGTTCATCTAAGATGAGTTTGCTCTCTCTTTTCTTTTCCTCCGAAGGTTTTTGAAGGAGGTACCGACAACGAGTTGGCTATCACGAATTTCAGTTTGAGGCTTTACCCACGTCGCTACCTGTTTGAGGCTTTAGAAGGCCGAGAGATGTCAAATTATGCCTCTTCATTGACAGGGTTCTCAGCCGGCACCAGAATCTCGATTCTCTGGGGCACTTTTGCACCTATTTTTCAGGCCCGCCCCGAAGCTGAAAGTTACAGCCTGATTTTGGGTTTAACACGAAGTCTTTGGTTCACCAAATTGATGTTATGCTTTTGGGGAAACATAATGCTAGCTTTCCCAGTCTATGATTTGCACTTCATATGGGTATCAATTATCAGCATGTTGTGAGCTTTACTTGATGTTATTGTTTTTTATGAGGTTGTTAATTGTCTTTGACCTACTTTACTTTTGTTGTTCGTGCAGGTTTATGGAGTTTCCTTCATCTCTTACCTCTTAAAGCACAACTAATTGCATCCTTCTCATTGTAGAATTGGAAATTAGAAATTTAGCTCCTATGCTGGAGTTCCCTTCATCTTTTATCTATCAAATCAGAGCTAATTGCATCCTTCTCATTGTAGAATTAGAAATCAACCACTTTTATAAAGTTCGTATCTTCCCTCTTGCTCAAAATAGTCTTTCAGTTATCTTGAAATTTGTAATAGCATAAAAAGGTAGCATGAATGCCCAGTCAATTCACTTTATATTATATTGGAGTTTAATTTGGTTGTCTTGAACTGTGTATAAATGATCCTTTTTCTACTGTCATTTGATTAAAATATATTGATGTTTGGATTTTTTTTTTGTGTTTGGTTATTTAAGCTCTTATAATGAGAATCCTAGAAGGATGCAAGTTCTCAATTGATACATTTTCTATTTATTTCTGGAGTTCTCAATTCGTGTAGACTGTGACCTTGCTACAGGCCTTTGCTTTTGAAGTTTGCCTACTGCCACTTGAATTTGTTAAGGTCATACAACCTGTATGAGATGTCAATGGACAAAATCTTTATAGAGATTCCTTTCGTAAATTATGTTTATATAAAATGAAATCAAAATATGTGATGAACTATTGTGGATCCAAATATGCTTTTGTATGGTAGATATATAATGTTCTTTGCTTAAAACTCCGTTGTCTTACTTAGAGATATGTAGTATTTACATAAAAACTTATTAACTATTATGTTGAGTATTTAATTGACAAATTAACTTACAATGTGAAATATTTTTGGGCTATTTATTGTTTTCTAATAGATATGGTTATATCTGTCAAAAGTGTGAAAGTTATGGCTATACAGCTGTATTTTGCCTTTTATTTATTGTGTAGATGTAGATTTATTCGGCCAACGGGCCGAGTACAAAGCTAGTAAATCCATGTGGCCAAAAAAGCCATCCTAGTCAATGCCGAATTTGCTTTTAAAAAAGCCCACTGCTCCCGTGGCAGGTGCCAATATCCTGAAACTAACCCAAAATTGGCATTTTTTAACCAAAATGCCCTCTGTTTAGTGTTTACACGGACCGTTCCTCCTCAGTCTCACCACGCGCAGCGTCACTCCTCCGTCAATTCTTAGCTCCTTTTCCTTTAGTAACCAGAAATCCAGCGTTTTGACTTTAGCAGTACTAAATCCCGTCGGATCGACCCCACGTCAGCTCCCTGACGAAGAATATCCACGTGGCAGCATCATACGGTGACGGCATCCCTCTACAGTAACAGGATTTGGAGGGAAACCTGAGCGAAATGGATTAAAAAAAGAAAAATACAGCACCCAAACCAAGAGACACATAAATCAGAAAGGGAAATATGATTCCAATTTCCAGCAGAGAGGCTCTGGGTCTGGCTGCAGGCTGATGGGCTCCTCCTCCTCTTCTCTTCCCTTCTTCCGTTCGTCCAACTTTTCTCTTTTTCTCAGCACTGCTCTCTCTAATTAATTAGACGGCGAGTTCAATTATAAACAAAACAGAAAAATCGGCAATCCATTCTCCTTTTAATCTTCCTCTTCCGCCAGCGATCGAAGTTGCGCCATCAAAGCTGGTTATGCATGGCGCGCTGCTCCACTGTCGCTTGACGGCGTAGTACAGAACGATAAAACGAAATTTTGTCTTCTCCGTCGTGTCTTCGGGATCAGATCTAATAGTTGGCGCCTTGGTTTGCTCAGATTTGTTTCGTTGTGCTGAATTGGGCGATGGTTTTGAGGAGAATTTAGGGGGATTCTGTCTTAGGGTTTTTGGGGCGGGCACATTCTTCGCTGGTGGGGGAATGGAGAACGGGAGGAGATCTGGCCAGCCGTCGGGGTACTTAGTGAAGAGCAAGGGGCCTTCGGGGTGTTTGATTGTGAGGAAGAAAGGGAGTGATGGCGTGGGAGGGGCGGGTTCTTCCGGTTCGAGGAGGCTTTTTGAATCGAAGAAGGAGAAGAAGAGGCCGAGGTTGGATTTCAGCGATTCCGGGTCCAGTGACGAGCTGTTAATGCGTTCACAGCCAAGGATGGCGCCTGATACTTCTCGGATTCGTAATGGCGTGAGTGGTTTTGATGCGGGCGTTGAGGGGAAGAGTGGGGTTGCTAGGAAAAGGAGCAAGGGAGAGGGCGGTAGGCGTAGTGAGATGGATGGCATTGTCAGGTATAGTTTGATTGACCGGACGAGGACCAGGTTAGATGTGGATGATTTAGATGATCATGAAGGTAGGCGGGGTGGAATTGATAGTCGGAGGTTTTATGGCTCAATGTCTGTGGGTAGAGGTAGCATTGAAAGAGATTACGATTCTGGTTCAAGTAGAGACGCTCTTCGTGGGAATAGACAGGCTTCGTATTTCGAGAGGGCTAGTGGTTTCACTCGGGGCAATCCTTCTGCTAGGGAGGGAGTTCGGCTGCCGGCTCCAGTTCTGAGGGATGACTATGAATCAGAGCAACCAATTCGGGTTCAAGGTAAAAATGGAGTTTTAAAGGTTATGGTGAACAAGAAAAAAAAGATTGGTGGGTCTCTCAATGGTCACAGTGCCATGGAGCTTGAGGAAGTAAGGAAGGCTGTGAGGACTAAAGAATTTTCCAACAAGAACGTTCTTATGCACCCTTCATATTACACGGAGTCTAAAATGATTGACAAAGCAATTCCATGTATTGGCAGAGAGAAGAAACCGATGAATCTGCTGAATTCGATGAAAAGTGAAGAAGATAATGTGAGTGACCAGGACTCTGGTGATAGTGGTATTTTGTTGACAAAGAAAGGAAATATGAGAGCCAAGTTTGCAGAACCTAGCAATTCCCAGAAGATGCTGTTCTCTACAAAGGCAAGTGTGAGCACTGGCATGAATTCTGATGACAGTGATACTTCCTTGAAGCTGCGACCAAAGAGCAGTGGAGGTCTTAGATCAAGATCGGGGACAAGCGTTGGCGATGAGAAAACCACGCCTGGTAAGCTCCTACCAAGCAAAGTCAATGAAGGCAAACTTAAGCGTGGTTCTGGCACTGAAAAGCAAAAGTTGCGTGAAAGAATTAGGGGGATGCTGGTAAATGCTGGCTGGACAATAGATTACAGGCCTAGGAGGAACAGGGACTATTTGGATGCAGTTTACATAAGCCCTGCAGGAACTGCTTACTGGTCCATCATCAAGGCGTATGACGCACTTCTTAAGCAGTTGAATGAAGATGAAGAGGTTGTAAAGGCTAAGGTGGAATGTTCTCAAATTACACCATTACCAGATGAGCTACTCAGCCAACTTACAAGGAATACTAGGAAGAAGATGGAGAAGGAAATGAGAAAGAAACAAAGAGACAGCCGCCAGAGTGAGAATGCAAGCGAAGCTTTAGCGCGGAAGGCGTCAAGCAGCAGGTATGATGAGGAGAGTATGGACAGCCATAGTCAGGAAGAGAAATTGAGCTCATTCATAAAGCAAAGTGGCAATTCAATTAAGGGTAAATTGCATTGTAATAGTTCCACCAGTGTAACCTCTAAGGGTCACCATTCGATGCATACTTTGCATGTCAACGGTGACAAATTTTCCTCTGGACACAATAGTCACCATGGCAGGAAAAGCAGAAAATTAGGTAGATGCACCTTACTAATCCGGAGATCAAACCAGGGTCTGAACTCAGATGGTGATGGTTTTGTACCTTATACTGGGAAAAGAACACTGCTCTCTTGGCTAGTTGACTCTGGAGCTGTGCAGTTGAGTCAAAAGGTGAGATACATGAATAGGAGGCGAACCAAAATTTTGTTGGAGGGCTGGGTAACACGAGATGGCATCCATTGTGGCTGCTGTAGTAAAATCCTTACAGTTTCAAAGTTCGAGATCCACGCAGGAAGTAAACTTCGACAACCCTTTCAAAATATATATCTGGACTCTGGGGTTTCCCTTTTGGATTGCCAGATTGATGCATGGAATAGGAAAGAGGCTTCTGAGAACATTGGTTTTCACTCGGTGGATATTGATGGTGATGATCCAAATGATGATACTTGTGCTCTTTGTGGTGATGGTGGGGATTTGATATGCTGTGATGGTTGTCCATCTACATTTCATCAGAGCTGCCTGGGCATTGAGGTAAGGTTAACTAATATACAGTGGATAGATAATCTTAATTTACTTGTTATTCCTTTTATTGGAACAAGTGATACTAGTTACTGTTTCTACTTGCTATTGCTTTTTTCTCTGTTATCTCAATAACAGTTAATAGGCTCTTTCCTCAGTTTGGCTCTGTTTCTTGAGCTGTTGGAGGGTGTTTATGCTTCCTGGTAGTGTCGGTTTGCTGCTTCTTTCATTTTCCGTTTCTCTTGCTTGGAGGAAAGTTATGTCAATTGATATAGTCAGTGTGTTTGTGTGTGTGCACGCGCGTATGTGTGTGTGTGTGAGAGAGAGAGAGAGAGAGAGAGTTGATCTTTTCACCTTGATGTCTGAAGATGACTTTTTTCTTGTTTCAGATGCTGCCTCCGGGTGTTTGGCGTTGCCCAAATTGTACATGCAAGTTCTGTGGGTTGGCCAGTGACAATCTTGTTGATGAAGATGATCCAACTGTTTCGGCTCTTCCGACGTGCAGCCTCTGTACCAGAAAATGTACAATCATCTTATTATCTTGTTCAATTTTACATAATTCCTTCCCCTTCTCTTCCAACTTTCTACCATTTTTCAGATCATGAATCATGCATCAAGGATATGGATGCTGCTACTGTTGAAGGTGATAGTTCTAAATCTTGCTTCTGTAGCCAAAAATGCAGAGAGGTACTTGTTTCCCTTGAATATGCTGGTCATAATCATTAGCATATTAATGTTGTTGAGATTTCTCTCGTCTTGTCTGTGTGAAGGACTGAGATTTGTTTGAAAGTTCTTGATATATGACATTTTTGGTTAACATACATGAAGATGTTTGTGCTACTTCTGTCAGAAGCAACAGGCTTCTGGTTGTTCTCTTTGTTTACCTTAGGGTTTCCAAGGCATTTGAAATTCGCATTCCATCTCTAGATCAGTGGGATTCTGATTAATGGTCTTCATCTTTTGCTCATGTCCCTTATGCAAGTTTAGCTTTTATAAAGTCTGGAATCTCAAGAATAAATAGATTCCTGTTGTTGGTTCTTACAGTTGGGGATGCCAGCAAAATTTTTTGTGTTGTTATTCTTGTTCTGGAGGATTAAACTAGTGGTGTTTTTCACTTCCAAATCTGGCATGTAATTGATCGGCATATCATCAGCTGTTTTTTGTTTTGCTACTATGCTTCTTTCTCATCTATAACTGTTCTATTTACCCCCTACTTTTGTTGCTTTCAGCTCTTTGACCAATTGCTAAAGTATCTGGGCGTCAAACATGAGCTGGAAGCAGGATTTTCATGGTCTCTTATTCGGAGAACAGACTTTGACCTGGATATATCTCTTCAGGGACTTCCTCAGAGGGTAGAGGGGAATTCAAAGCTTGCTGTGGCTTTCTCTGTTATGGATGAATGCTTTTTGCCAATAACTGACAGAAGGAGCGGGATCAACTTGATCCATGGTGTTCTTTATAATTGTGGGTAAGCATCTTTGTTCTTATGGGGTGGGAATCGTGCCTCCTCATTTTGAGCGTGAACTTTTGTTAGTGCATGTGTCAAGTCTGAGCGAGCTATTTCTGTCAATATAGATATATTTTGTGGCTTATTCATTTCTCGATAATTCTTACACTCAAAGTTAAGAGTGCTTCCCAGTTTGGCATTAGAGAATTTGTTTCTGTAACAGCTGGTCTAATAGTCTATGACTTGCCCATTCTATATTACTCCCTCTTGTCATTTCCTTTCTTCGTGTAGTTTGCTCTCTGTTCTTCAGGCTGTTAGAAATTGTTATACCTATGTTAATATTGTTCTTTTCTTTTTGGATGGAACACCAATACTGATCATTCCAAATTATGTTTGTTCAATATTATTACAGGTCAAACTTCAATCGACTCAACTACAGTGGATTCTTTGCCTTGATTTTGGAGAGGGGTGATGAAATCATTTCTGCTGCATCCATAAGGTATGACATTGATTATATATGCCATGTGGACTTCATTCCATTTGTGGCTTTAAAGTATTAACTAGTGAGAGAACATAATTGCCAGTAAAAAGTTCTGAAGAATTTTTTTCGTTAGTCGAAGCTTCTGTGATCCTGATCCTCGGAGATTAATCTCTGGTAAAGCCAGATATGCAAAGTGAAAGTTTACTGTTACTGATAAATCTCTTTGTGGATTCATGTGGCCTGCAGCTTAGGTTGCATAACTACCTTCATTGGCCATGCTAGTTTTACTTTTAGGCCCATGCATGGGGATCTGGTTTGGATTTGGGTTTTGTAAAGCATGACACTTTCTGCTGGCATATGCTTTGCCTTTGTTTGGTTATTGAGCTTTGAGAAGGCAACTAGTCTAACCAATTAGTTGAACCTTTTCTTTATTAGATTGCATGGGACAGAGTTAGCCGAAATGCCCTTCATCGGAACTCGCCACATATATAGACGTCAGGGAATGTGCAGGCGTCTTTTTAGTGCTGTTGAATCGGTATGAGTTTTCCTTAAACCTCTTGAATACCCATTTTGTTTACGGTTAAGATTTTTTTCAAATCAATGGGCGCTCCTCTCACCTTTCTCGCTTGTGGGACCATTGGTTTTATATCTTGGCAGGTACTCCACTCATTGAAGGTTGAGAAGCTAATTATTCCTGCGATTTCTGAGCTAATGCACACATGGACGGAGGTATTTGGGTTCACTAGCCTTGATGAATCCCTTAAGCAAGATCTGAAGTCCATGAATACGATGGTGTTCCCTGGTGTGGATATGCTTCAGAAACAGTTACTTCAGCAGGAACATGTGGAGAAAATGAACACTAATGAAGGTTTTTCCCATTTAGTATTTTGTGGGTAGATATTTTCCTGACCTGATCCCATATGTTGATGAACTCTCTATTATTCTTTGTAGGTGTGAAAGAGATGGGATCCAACGGTGATAAATGTATGGACAATGGTTCTGCGGATAGTGGTTCAGCTGGAGATTATCTCAATGAAAGTGACAGTGGTGGTCTCGAGCTTGATAATGGTGAAGCAAAAGTGGGAGAATTGTCTAGGGAAAAATCTGATACATCGGGTCTAGATGCCTCTGCACACTCTACAAAGAGTTTCTTAGATGCACCCCACAAGATTAAGCATAGCGTCAGCTCAGATTCCGGACTAGTGGACAAGAAGTTGGATAAATCCAGAATATCCAATCTGAAATCAGCTGCTGGGGAGAATGGCGATATCTCTTCTCATGCTCATCCCGATAACCAGTTTCTTCTTCCCATTTCTTCAGACAATGTTTCTGGAATGAGCGCTTCACCAGATGCTTCTCATGGGCATAAACAACCCGTAAATGGCGAGGAAGCTAATTGTGTGGATGAATCAGCTTCTGTTACTAACCATTTGAGGATGCCTAATGTTACGAGCAGTCGGAGAGAAAAAGTCACAGAGGCGGTACACAACTTGGGGGAGAATGGAACTGATGATGCCCAAGCGTTCAATCTATTAAGCGAGTCTACATCCGAGGATGAATATAAAGGTTCATTCTCTACTGAACAGACTAAATCCTCAAGTGATTTCCAGAAAGACTCTGAGCCCACCAATGTTGACGCTCCCCAGGAGGAATATCAAGTGGGGTCAGGCCTTGAAGCTACGAACCATCCAGAAGCAAGTTATGAGCATGGTTTCGACACTGATGCTAGTGAAGGTAAAACGGAATCTGAGTAGCTACCACATTCCAATCATTTACACTACTCCGACGACAGTGAGGGTTTGCATTTTGGGCACCTAGTTTTGGCATGTGATCTCAAGCGGATGCGTTGTTCTGGACACAGTGGCTGTACACAGTGGGTTGCTTCTGTATGTATAAAATTACCATGAAAAAATCTGCCAGCTAGTATGCCTGCCAGGTACGCTCGACGATCTTGCTATGCTTTTTCCAAGTTTTGGTCCTCCCGGGAAGAGTGCAAGTAATCAATCTCGCTGCGTGGAGTGAAGGGAGAGAGGGTGAGGCTTCCAGCCGCTGCTGTATGTTGAATGGGGTGGTGTTGAGAGTAACAGCTATGTCGTTTGCAGTCACTTGTGGAACGTGTATATAAGTTTGGTATTGGGCGGTGGGGTTCCAGATTTTGGTACTTTGATGCTCTCGCACCCTCCCTGTAAAAAAAGAACCGAATTCAATTCTTACGTTGCAGATATCCCCTGTTTTTTTGTTATCCCATCTTACAGAAGACTACTGGTTCCTCGATACCAATTTTTCCTTGTGTGCAAGTGCAAGAAACCGAGATTGAAATTGTTCTTCCTTTCCATTCAATCCAATGCTGCTTCTTTATTGAACTGAATCCATTTGATATTTACATTCTCACAAAAACTCCTCAGCGGTCTTCAAATCATCCAGTATCTCAGACTTCACGGATTCCGGTAGTGCTGCGGATGGCCCTGCTTTCGAGTAGAAGCTCACCAGTGCTCTTATTGCCTTCTCTATCTCCACGTACGATTCCTGCAGGTTACAATGATTGCTTGATGAAAGATTTACCAGATCCAGCACTATCAGTCTTTGCCAACGACCGAACAATTTTTACCTCGTGGACGATCTTCTCTTGGCCCCTCCAATTGCTAAAATACTCTCTAATGGATTCCTTAGCTGCGTCGGCGTTCCGTCTGAACTTGGCATTGTCCTTGGGATCCTCCTGCAGCGACTCTCGCAGCGTCTTCACCACCTCTCTAGCCGAATTCAGGTAAGCTTTCGGAAGCAGTCTCCCTGATTTCGTCTTCTCGTTTGGATCCAGAAGCGATTTGATTGCGCCCATCACGCCCTCCTCTTCGTCCTTCGCCGGTTGTCCTCCTTCGGCTCTGGCAGGCAAGGTCGTCGGGATCCAGTACGGAGACAGACTGGATATTGCCGAAATAGCACCGGCGAGCAAGACTCGCCGACGAGTCTCCGCAACTTGATTCTGTCGCAGCTGCTTATCTGTGAAAGCGACGATGAAATCGTCATCTGGAAATTCGATTCGGAAGCAGGGAGTGGTATGTACTTACAGGAACCCTTGCGTTCGGAACAATCAGTTGGTGCTTTGACAGGAACGGAAAGGCCGCAAAACTCGCGGCGGTCGGCGCCATTGTTCTGCCGTCGATTCCAGTTCGGCAGCTGGCTCCAATCGCGCGCTTCAGGTCGGATATCTCAGCTTACGTCATTTTCTTCTTCGAATCTATCCGAATGGAAATGGACATAGCTGTTATTTTGAGGAATCGTGAAGGTCAAGTTAGTCATTGAACCAAGCCTCCGACGTCGTTCTGTTCTCTCTCTCTCCCTCCCTCTTATATATCCGCCGTCAGACGTCAGTCTCTGTTTTTTCGGATTTATGACTCGCCTTTCCGTTGAAAATAGGAGACGAGATCTCTCACTCGCTCTCCTCTTTCCTCTGCTGCCGTAATTCAGACGCCGGTGAATTTTGATTCCAGCAATCGGCGGCAGTTTTCCCGGTCTTGCAGGAATCCTCTCCTATTACCGGATATGACTAACAGCTCCCAGCAAAAATCCTCTTCCTTGAAGCCTTCCTCCTATGCTTCCGCGTCGCAGAGGAAATCTCGCTGGGAGTCCTCTTCCTCCGCCGCTGCTGACGCCAGCAATCCACCGTCGGGATCGAAATCCAACCTGCCTAAACCGGCTAAACCTCATTCCAATTCCAAACCCTCGCCGAAGCTGAAGACAGGGCCGTCTCCCAAGCCTACCGCTCCTCCGGAAGCTCTTGCTCCGCCACCAGGTGCAGCCTTCCCTTTCCCTGACTTCGGACCTCCTCCTACTCCCACCTATGGCTTCCACATGCTGGAAAGACGGACCATTGTCCTTGCAGACGGTAGCGTTCGGTCCTACTTTGCTCTTCCCCCAGATTACCAGAACCTCCCTCCTTCCCGTTTCGTGACCCCTCGTCAGCTTCCAACCGGCGGGGATCTCAGATTCCCGCCAATGAGTCCTGAAGGTTTAGGGTTCCGTGATGGCAATCAGGGTCGAGATCAAAACCACAGCGCCGCTATGAAGAGGAAGCACGCTGGAGGAGGGGAGGACGAGTTCAAGTTCAGCGACAACCCGAACGGGTTTCATTCAGCTGGGGCCGGGCCAAGCAGTCCTTTTATGAGGGGTGATGAACTGAGGCCAGGGAAGTTTATGAGGATTGGTGGTGACAGCGCGGGAATGATCCATAAGCACCTTGAAGTGGACCAGAACAAGCTAAAGACGGCTTTTCTACACTTCGCTAAAGTGATTAATGACAGTGAAGCAGAGAGAAGGCGTTATTTAGAGAACGGCAAGCATGGACGGATACCTTGTGTCGCTTGCAACAGGTTTGTTTCAGTTTTCCTGTCTTTTACTCTCCCTACTGATTCGATACTTGTGCATCTGTTTTCCTATGCAAGTTTTTCTTCTCGTAGTGTAAGGTAGCATGTTGTTTCGAACATGGGGTACTTGGGAGTTTGGACTCTGATTGATGAGTTTGCAGTTGTTATTTATGTCTTCGAGCTAGGGGTGGATAATTCTTTTCTTTGCTAGTTTACTACATTGCTTGATGGAACCAGGAAGGGTTATCGCTTTAATTCCTTTGTTACTTCATGTTGGCACTATGATGTTTGTGCATTTCCACGTTAGAGGAGGGCAATCCTTGCCATCGGTAGTAGTTCGATCTTTATTTTTGTCCCAAGCATTCCTCTTTTGGTGCACTTTGAGGAAAAATCGTATAGCCTCATTCTTTCTGTATTAAGGAATCTGAGTCTATGAGTTTGTAGCATTTGCTCAAGCGACAGTGGCAGTGGGTTCTTTATACTTTCCTTGCTATCTTCCCCAGACATTATTTCGCTGCTACCCAGTATGCAGGAGCTCATTCCTCATGGCTGCTCTCGTACTACCTACTACAGCATGGGATCCTTTTCAGAAACCCAAAAACATTTTATAGAGAAATGAGCACCAAAATGATCTGTGGAGATCAATCCAAAAACTTACAGTTGAAATGACTGTCCAAATCAGGCCCTTGCTTTATGGAAAACCCCTGAAGTGCTCCCTTTCTCAGCGAGATTAGTTGCTACACTACAGCAGTAGCAGCTTCTTGTGTAAATTGTTTTGGCTTTTTTTCACACGGAGGAAGTAGCAGGAAAGTAATTCCATATCTAGAATAGCATTGGATGAATCGTCCCTTTTAAGAGTCCCACCAGCCATCACTGCCTCCTAATGCCCCATTTGTCTGCTCAATGTGCGTAGAGTTTGTTGTAATTTTGCAAGTTTGAGTGTTTATTATTTACTGACGATTATAATAAAATTAACCTACCCTTGTAATTCCAGCACAGATTTAGGGTGGTTTGTAGCTACATATTTCAGGATGAAGAACAAAGTTTTATCGAGTCTTTGGTTAGATTCTCAAGTGAAGTCCTGCTCCTTGGTTGGACTGTCAACCCTTTATACCCTATTTTCCCTTTGTTTCTTGAAATTGCAGCAATCATAACAGAAACCTTCTTTTCCTGCTTGCTTTACACACTATAAACTCTAGGAACGTCAGACTCTGTCCTCAAGCACTTGATTTCATCAAACTTTTTGAGAATCTGAGTAAGAGAATAGTGGGTGAAGATAAGGATTAATTCCACTTGTCTGTTAAGTTGCTGGGAATATGTTAATTTGTCTTGTTTGCAGTCGCTTTTGGTGGTTCTGAAAGCTACTTTTTCCATATGATTTGTTTTTTCTGCGAATCATTACTCGTGAGCTGGGGTCCCTCTGATTGGTTGACTGTGGCCAAGTCCTACATGATGATAGCTCTGCTGACTTGACGATGGAATGTATGTGAAGCACAGGGTATTTAGAATGACTGATGGGTTTCCAATTGTTTGCCATTTTTAAATCTAACTACATTGCTTGAGGGCCCGAGGGTTCAGAAAGGATTATCTGCTTTAAGTTACTCTTTTAATTCGTGCTGCCACTATGATTGTTTCACATATGCCCTTGAAGGGCAGGAGGGAACCTCTTGCCTTCGATAGTAGTTCAATCTTTGATTTAGGTCCCATGTGTTCCTCTCTTGCTGCACCTTTGTGGAAGGAACTTAAATATTAGTATGCTATAGCTTCATTCTTTCTCGATATATGAACTTAAGATCGCGAGTGGGTGGTGTTTATGTGAGTGGCTGTGGCTTTAATACTATCCTAGCTACCTTCCCCAGACACACATAGCTGCTAACCAGTATGCAGGGACTCATTCCTGGCTGCTGCTTGGGCTACTGCACGGCCATCATTTCCATTGTTTTGCCAACATTTATTTCCTGAAAGCAATCAAACCCACAGTCTAAACGGCTGCCAAACACGGGTGCTTTAATAAAAAACCATGAGTCCATTCTCATTGATATTACTTCATTGTCGGAAAACAACATCAACTCCAGCTGGATGTGTAAATTGGTTTGGCCATTGATTGACCGAGGTACCAGCACCAAGAGCAATGCTATATCAGAATAGTATTGGACCACTTCTCCCTCTTAAGATCTCCCCATGAAGAACCCTAATTCCCCATGTGTCGACTCTGATGTCCACGGAGGTTGTTGTAATTTTTTATTTTATTTTTCCTTATTGAAGGTTTTTATTATGTAAGTTATAGTGTTTATTACTTGCTTATGATCGTCCTAAAGCTTGCTTTCTCTTAGTAAATTTTGCCATCCCATTAAGGTGGTTCGTAGCTAGAATAACAGGATGAAAGATCTAAGTTCTATTGAATCTTTGATTAGAATTAGAGCCTTCTTGAGTGGATTCTCAAGTGAAGTCCTGCTCCTTGGTTGGAGAGGCAAACCTTAGAACCCTAAATTTCATTGCTCTCTTAAATTCCAGCAACTATCAACAACAGAAATCTTCCTTTCCGTGATATAAACTCTGGGCATACATACTTCTGTCCTCAAACACCTGATTTGTCACACTTTAGACTAAGGAATTAGGGGCTAAGACGAGGATGCTCACTAACCTGTGTGCATGTGCTCTTTGTACAGATAGATTGATAGAACCATGTTTCTATCGGGTTTTTGGATCGGGATTGGTGTTTGGGAATTGGGGATTATAGGCCAGAATCGGGGATATAGGGTTGAAGAAGATAGAATTACGGATTGAGATTGGATTTGGGGAAGAATTGGAGAGAATGGCCGGCGGCCTGACTAGGGAGAGAAGAGAGATTGAGAGGATTAGAGGAGGAGATTAGGATTTAGGAGATTTTATTTATATTCTTCTTGATTGATTACTAAACGAATAACAAAGTACACTTATAGGAAAAGAGCGGAAAACCTAACAATAAATCTAATCTTAACAACCAAGTAATGATTTATCCTAATAATTATCCCTGATATTAATATGATGATTATAGAATATCAATTCACTTTTGTATATGATATACTCAGAACTTACCAGTGAATTCAGTTTTTTAGTGTATTGGTTTCCCGAGGAGTGCAATTGTGAACACATGTTGATTTAACTCTTTTTTCCTTCTCCAACTGTATCTGAACACAACTCAAAAGGTTGATGCATGACATGGAATGGAACATTACTATAGTTGTACCACTCTATTTCCTTGTCTGGTAGTTTTCTGGTAGACCTGACTGTATAGGCTGCGGCAAATCTGTTTGGTGTTTTAGATTCACAGCAAACAAGTGGGATCATTGCCTAAATTCGTTATTGTTCGATCCCCTTCATGTTGCAAAGTACAGGTCGAAAGATTTTGCAGATGTGCATGCTCTTATAATGCATACATACAACTCAGAAAAAGCTGAATCTCGTGTGGATCACTTGGGTTTACACAAAGCCCTGTGTGTTTTAATGGGATGGAACTTCACCAAGATTCCTGATAGTTCAAGGGCGTACCAGTTCCTACCTGCCCATGAAGCAGCAGCAAACCAGAACGATGTGATTGTGTGGCCGCCTTTGGTGATTATTCATAACACAGTTACAGGAAGGGGTAAAGATGGGCGCTTGGAAGGTTTGGGAAATAAAGTCATGGATGGCAAAATAAGAGGTATAGTGCAAACCTTCATTCAATCGTTCTTGTTTGTTTTGAAACAATGTGACATATCAGATCCATGGATTCCTTTGTTCCTGAATGGAGGATGGGTTGCACTACACAATAGTTCAATCTACTAAAGTGACTTGGTGGTATCCAAGAAGGGTTTCTATCTTTGACAAACATCTGTAGAAGAACTTGCTTTGGAACATTAGCAGCTCTGAAGCCGGGTACTAAAAAGTGAGCTAAACACTCAGTCCGTCTGTGCGAAGAGGCACCACTGAAGGTAGTGGTCTAAGAAGATACCAGGAGATTGCAGTCGGAAGAGTTGTTGGTTTCTGAGTTCTTTCCCTCCTTTTCTTTCTTTTGTTTAGTTTCTTTAGGTATTGAGTTGCAAGAAACTCAATAGATATGATTCTGCAGCCTATGTCTGGTTTCTAAGTAAACCTTACTGTTAAAGAATGGAGTTGCACCGACTTTCACTCCTCAAAAATGTTAGAACAACTTCCTTCTCAATCTTGGTGGCCTCTCAGTTTCTTTTGGAGGAGGGGGAGTATATCTGACATCCTGCTTCCAACAATCAGGAATAGGTTGTTTGCATTTTGTTTTTGTTTTGGCGAGGAATGGGTAAGGTTGTTGCTAAACAGTTCTTTTCTTCTTTAGCAATGGGGGGTTAACACCGTTTCTTATGTGTTATGTCTCAACGGTCTTATATTCATATCATGGCCGGGTTTAGGAAGCAAGCAATTGCTTGGGCTTCTGATGTTTTCGGGGTAACTTTCCTTCCTTTAAGCCCCTTGTGTCAGTGAACTAGAATAGTAGCTCTTTATCTGTAGGTCCTTAATTGACCTTCATGAATAGGGTCCAACGGTAGGTTGGAACTCTATTTTTCAGAAATAACCATTAAGATGAACTCAAGTCACTGTCATAGATAGATTCTCTGCTCTTAGCTGTAATATTCTCTCATAGCCAGTGTTTTGGTCATGGAGTGAATATGCCAGTTCAGCTGTCTAATGCAGCTACATTAATGATCCTGTTAGAATGTGCTGTGCTGTCCTGTGCCTTTTTCCTGCTACAGATACAAGTTTGTTAAGACTTAATACCCTAATTTATCTTGTTAGGGTATGATGATGGGCAGAACCCATCTCTTCATGTCTGGCAGGCACTGAAGCTGAGTCTGACTGAACGTGGAAACTTACCGAATACCTAGTTTCTTTTAAGAACTTAGTATTTCTTACCACTAATGAGAAGCTGAGTCAGATGAATGTTCATATCCTTTGAGCAATTGAGTCAGATCTTTTAGAGACTGAGATCAGTTATCGGTTGTCAACATATATTCGGCTACTGAACAAATAGAGCAGTGCTCGTTTCACATTTGGCGGATGCTCCTACTGGCTTTATTTCTTTGTAAATGCAATTCTAGTTTTGTTATATGCTGGTCATAATACCAGTGCAAATCACGTTTATCTCTTTTCCCTTTCTGATTTTACTTTCTATAACAATGTGGCTTTTCAGCTCTTGGATTTCCAGGTGGCAAGTCCAAGTCACTGTATGGAAGAGACGGTCATCAAGGAATGACGCTCGTAAAGTATAGCGGTGACATGTCAGGCTTGAAGGAGGCCGTGCAGCTGTCCGATCATTTTGCGGTGCAGAATCATGGGCGAATCACATGGGAACGTATACAACCGGTGACTTTAGGCAGGGATGACGACGAGCGGAATCCAAACTTCGTGAAGGTGGACCATCGCAGTGGGGATAAGACGAGGATTCTGTACGGGTATCTTGCCACAGCTGCTGATCTTCACAGGTTGGATTTCGAGACGCGGAGGAAGGTTACGATTGAGAGCCTTCGAGAATACCAGCAAGTCAGGCATCCTCGTCCTCGATAACAGGATCACCCAGAGGTAACAAAGAGCTGTATTCGAACATTGATATTTATCCCATTTGCGATTCAAAGGCACCGGTCTATAATCTGTGTGTTGGTCAATGATCGTTGTATTTTATCAGAATTTGAGGTGGTATTTAGGAATGACCAGATTGCATAAAGAGCTTCAGATGTATCATCTTAATTCATTTCATAAGTAAGCCTTTAGTTAGTCCTTATCACTAAACGGGTGGTGCGTGGTGTCAGTCAGATTCTTAATTCTATAGCTCTTTCGTCTCTTACAAAGCCAGTTGTTGCAAGTATGTAATATTAAAACTGCTTCTTTGCTTTCTGGGTAGTCAAGTCAAGGACAAGGAGAGAAGTTGTTCTTGTGTTAGTTTTTGTTTACACAGAAAGCGAGGGTTTTGGGTTTAGACTTAAGAGGTTGAGTATTGGAAGTAGGGTATGTTAGCTGCTTGGTTGTGTCGAGGGAGGTTTTGGGCGGCAAAACGATACCCTAGCTCGAACATTATAAGTATTTATGCAGGAGGTTGTAATTCTAACATGTTGTACTAGATTCAATATGAAGTTTCGGTGATCGATAATGTTGATGCCCGCTTGATCTTCCAAATTCTCTTCCGTACCAGCTCACTCCTTCACGGTTAAGCCTGCACTCACAGAGGTGGGCCTTGTGGCCCGTTAGTCCTCCAACGCTCAAGTCAGTATCTTTCTTAGTGAGAGAAGTGCTTATAGTGCACTATTTTAGTGAGAGAAGCCAAATTGAGTAAATGCTTACCAACCTCACTATTTATAGCCGATCATTGCTTACCTGGACCTTCCCGTACGGATTTCCACGTCACCCTTGCATTTAATGCGATTCCGGGCGCTCCCTTCGAAGGTGATTCCGGGTGCCCTCCTTAGGTGCGCACAACTCACAAGCACACCCTAGGCGCCTAACGTGCAAGTACTCTTACCACTCCGGGCGCTCAGGTCAACTTGCTCTTTCGATCTAAACCCATGGGCGCCAATCACGGCCCACTCCAGAGTCTTGAGTGAGCTCAGCTTTCCTCAGGCTATTTGGACTTCATGCTTCTTAATGGGCCTCACTCACATATTGAGGCCTTCTCATTCGTACACCCCCAACAATTGCCCCCCAGTTAGGTGCTCAAGTTTTGGATTCCTTGAGCGCCTAACTATTAGGCTTTTACTCTCTCTCTTCCAACTTTCATCGCGACAGCTGCTTGCCCCCCCCCCCCCCCCTTTTTGCTGTGACTGACGCCCTTTTTGGACAGGCGTTTCAATCCTACTAAAACGCATAGGCGCCCCTAGCGTGCCACAGGCGTCCCTGACTCAGGTGCCCTCAATCATTAGTATTCGGCTAACTTTTTTCCCGGGCTCCTACGCGGCCATACAACTTTCGATTTCCCTCCTCGGGGCGCCTAAAATCCAACCCTCTTGTTTCTTAGCCGGCGCCTTCTCTTCGCTCCCGTGCGCACCGAGTTAGCGCTCTATTTAAGACCTCTTCCTTGGGGCGCCTAAAATCCGTCCCTTTTGTTTCTTAGCAGACGCCTTTTCTTCCCCTGGCGCATCAATTTCAAGCCACCTTCAAGACCTCCCTTGCTTAGTCGTGCGCCCTAGCCGCCCTTAGCATATGACAACCGTCTCATCGCTCCCCCACTCGTCGTGCGCCCTAGCCGTCCTTCGGACATAACAAAAGCGCTTCGTCGCTCTTCCTCGACTCAAAGCGCCTCGCCTCCTTGATTTGTCGAAGGCGCCTCGGTTTTCCTGCTGCTCGGCGCCTTGTGCCCTAGCCGCCTACTACCCCCCTGGCCGCCTCTCACTCTCTCCTGCCCCCCTTCACAACCGCTGGTGTGGGATTCCCAACGTCGCGGTTGTGAATTAGTCACGTGGCAGCCGGCACGATATTCGAGGCGCTCCGGTTTTCTTTAAATGTAAGTTGCTTGTTGGCATTGTTTTTCATTCGCCCCCAATTGCCTTCTCACTCTAGTTTCTCTCTCTACTGTGCCTCTCTTCTGCTTTAGCGTTCTATCACACTTGCCGCGATGTCTCTCCCAGCCGATGCTGCCGCCGCCGCCGCCGCGGGCTCTTCTCAGAATCAAGGCGGCCCCTCCAAAACCGGTAAGCCGTTTTTTTTTTGTGAATGTTTGTGAATTCTTGCGATGGAGGCGCCTCTTACTACTCCAACGGTTGTGGGCCTACTTGACTTGTTTTAGTGGAGGCGCCCGCATTGTCACCCATACCGACGCCTTCATTGAACTACGACGTGCCGGAAGATGGGCATACAAGATGACCACTTGGGAAGGCACCTGGCCGCCGGAGTATGCGCCCTGGGAGACAACATGTTTGCCGACAAATGTGGCAGGGCCCGAGCATAACTCCACCATCTCGGCGCCTTGGATGAAAAGCTTGATCGATGGGCTCGGGCTCCCGCGCACATGGACGTATGCGCCTCCATCGCCTATGGCCAGGGTAGGGTTGTGCGGGCCCAGCTGGTTGGGTATCTACCAGGAGTATTTCCGGTTCGGGCTCCGGTTTCCTATAGATCCCATATTGGAGGGTATTCTGGATTACTGCGAGTGCACGATCGGGCGCCTATCTCCATCCGTAATACTGATTGTTGTGCTCTTCAAGCTGAAGTGCCGAATTCACCACGTGCGCCCGACCTTCAACTTGTTTTGTCACTTTTTCTCGGTGACGCCCCGGGACAACTGTCTGTCCTTGAAGCGGCGGAAAAAACTGCGCGCCCATTTCGTGACGAAATGCCCTAAATTGGGGCGTACATGGTTCACGGGCTTCTTCTTTATGAAGGCGCATAGGGATTACTTCTTTGAAAGTGGAGGCGCCTTTAGGACTGACTGGGAGCTTGGTACTGAGGTTCGCTTCAACGCTGCGGTTGTTCTAAGCCGAGAAGAGCGAGATGGGGCCGCACTAATAAGCGCCTCACCTGTAAATTTGCGCCCAACTAGTGCACGGGCGCCTATTTTAGAGAAATATTATGCAGATGGTGTGTTGAGTGCTTTTTTTGTTTGTTGCATCCTCTTTTGGGCACCTTAGCTAACCATTGATTTTGTTTACAGGTGCAAAATTTGGCCGCATTGCTGACTTGATTAAGAGTCGTTACGAGAGGATGACTCTGCAGGAGCCTCAACAAAGAGGGTCCAACCCTGGGGAGTCGTCTCCTGCCTCGGTCTCCACGCCGCAACCGTTGGCGGCGCCTACGGATAAAGGGAAGGGAAAGGCGCCCGGGGAGAAGCCCACTAGGGCTTCAAGCGAGGCGTCCACACCGTCAGGCGCGGATGTCAATGAAGACCGCGTTGTGGTCGAGGATTTGGATGATCAAGAGGATGAAGTGCCCTTGATCACTCGTGGGAAGAGGGCAGGCGCCCAACTGACCCAGCAAGCAAAGCGGCATAGAGCCAACGAAGGAGAGGAAGGCGCCCCGACTCTAGGCGATGCCCACCCTCAACGCTATGCCATCGTGGAGGGGCGCCTACTGGGGCCCGATGGGAAGCCACCCATGTTTCAGCCCAGGCGCACTGAGATGGGGCGTGTTGCCTTGTCTTGTTCTCCACGAGCGGCAGTGGATCGTGGATGCGCAATGGGCCTGGTTCTCTCAGCTTCCCAACTTCTACAGGTGCCTTCCGAGATCTCGGAGGATCATCCATGGGCTGAAGTCGCCCGAATGGGAACCAAGGTCTGCTCATTCGCCCCTTTGCTTGACTTACACATTTTTCACTTGCACATTTTTTTTTTTTTTGCAACGTATACATTGTTCACTTGCTTGGGCGTCTTATGTTTGTGCAGATGCTCCTTCTTGCCGAGGCAGGCTCCCGGAAGACAGACCTTGCGGTTGAGGAGTGCCGCGAGGCCCGGGCGTCCTTGTCCTCCATGAAGGACAATCTTGACACCGTTACCATGCGCCGCGAGCAACTTGTGAAAGAGTGTGAGAAGGCGCAACTGGAGGCGGCCAAGCAAATTTCGACGCTCCAAAGCATGCAGGAGGAGGAGCGCCGCCAACGGGACGCCGACTTTGCAACCCGCATGGAAGAGGAGCGCCGAGAGTTTAAGCAAAGGTTGGGCGCCTTGACTGCTGAGAAGGAGGCCCTTACACGAGATCTGGGCGTCCGTGATGCCGAACTTGCTGCTTTGAAAGAGGAGAGAGGCTCCCTTCAGGACGAGGTAAAGGCGGCCGCCTACCGCCGCAGGGATTACAAGAAGGCTCTGAGGAGTGCGCGGGAGGAAAAAAGGTCTCTTAAGGCGTCTCTTAAGAATTTTCCCAATTCCGAGGCAGGGCAAGACCTGATTGCCAAGGCGTCCCTCGATAGTTTGGTGCTTGTCAAGAGGAAGCTTGATCAGGAGTACCCCGACATCACCGTCAACTTCCCTGACCTCGTGAACTTTGTTATTGAGGAGATGCAGAAGGATCAAGAAGAGGCGGCTGAGGACGGTTCGGCGCCTGCGGGAGAGGGAGGGGCGCCTTCGCCACAAGAGAGTGATTCGTCCATGGGAGATTCTTCGGAGGCCGAGTAGTGAGGGCACGCCTCTTTTGTGATATGTACTATTGTTTTCCTTGAATGCTTGTCGATGTGCATTGCTTTTTTCATAAACGTTTGCTTGGGCGTGTGCCTTTTATGCCTTGTCAACTTTTTGCCCTCCTTTGGACGCTTATTGTGCTTTCAAGACTCTTTTTAGGGCGCATTATCTTTCAGGGCGCATTATTTATCGCACTAATTGTTTCTCGCAACTTTTACGGACATTTTCCAAGTCCTTCCTCGGGCGCGTTACGTAATTGGGGCGCTTTACTTTCATGGGCGCGTATTCATGAGCGCTTTCAAATGGTGGATTTTCATGCTTTTGGGCACATATTTATGGGTGCTTTACTAAGTGGGCGCAAATTCCTTCGGGCGCATTCGTTTCGGGCACATATTTATGGGTGCTTTACGATCGTGGGCGCATGAGTTGAAAGGGAATCATTCTAGGGAGCTTTTTCATAAACACAGACAGAGGCGCCTTAACACGACGAGCGCTTTGATTACACGACACAAGGCGCTGAACACAACAAGCGCTTTTGGTTACACAGCACTACAAACTTACTCCCGCAGGCGTTCCCCTTTTGCTTCTCACACTGCAGCCTCCTTGCCCCCCAGTTGGGCGCAATACGCACGCATGTTCTGCGCGTTCCAAGTTCTCTTCACCGGCCTCCGTAATGGTCGCCAAGGGCTCTGCCTCCACCCATTTCGAAAAGTAGTCAATGGCGACAATCAAATACTTCAGTTGTCCGGGCGCCTTTGGAAAAGGACCTAGAAGGTCCATACCCCAATGAGCAAAAGGCCAGCCGCCCGTGTTACCCTGCATTGGGGCAGCGGGTATATGAATGTCGTTAGCATGGATCTGACACTAGTGACAGGCGCCCGTGTGGGCCTTGGCATCTTTTCGCATTGTTGGCCAATAGTATCCCTGACGAAGCAACGTTTTCTCCAAACTACGAGCGCCAGCATGCATTCCGCAAGTACCGCTGTGGACTTCTTCCAGTGCCGCCCGACCTTCTTCCTTGCTTAAACACCTCAAATATGTTCCTGAATGGGATCTCTTGTACAGGCGCCCCTCAATTATGGAGCACCGAGCCGCCTTGCGCCTAAGCCTCCATGCCTCCTTCGGGTCCTCTGGGACTGTACCAGCCATCAGGTATGCCAGGATGGGCGCCATCCAACCGTCAGTTTCCATAGAATCCCCCACGGTTGCTACCACGTACTCCTGTGGAACCTCCTTTGTGACGATAACCTTCCTATCCTCAGCGAAGTCTAAAGCCGTGGCCAATTTTGACAGTGCATCTGCATGGGCGTTTTCTTCTCTTGGGATGTGCACGAAGTCCAGTTCTCTGAACCAGGCGCCTTCTCTTCTGACTGCCTGGACATAGGCTTCTAAGGCTTCCTCTTTCACGTCGAACGCCCCATTGAGCTGGTTGACCACAAGGGCTGAATCGGACTTAACACTGACATGTTGGGCGCCCAATTCTCGTGCCATACGGAGCCCTGCCACGACCGCTGCATACTCGGCTGCGTTGTTGGTTTTAAGTTATGAAAACCGCAGAGCAATCTCATGCATGACCCCGCTTGGGCTAATAATTACTATTTCTGCCCCGGCGCCCATGCGGCTCGCCGCCCCGTCAACTTGAACTTGCCACGTTTCCTGGTCGACCCCTTCAGTCTCCACTATTCCCTCCGCCACAAAATCGGCAATCACCTGAGCTTTGATGGCAGGTCGAGGCGCGTACCTAATGTCAAACTCGCTTAGCTGCACGGCCCACTTAACGAGGCGCCCAGCCACATCCATGGAGCCCAAGGTAGCCTTGAGAGGTAAATTGGTGAGCACAACGATAGCATGCGCCTGGAAATACGGGCGTAACTTGGTAGCGGCGGTCACAACTGCCAAGGCGGCCTTTTCGATAGGTGCATACCGTTTTTCATGCGGGCCCATCGTCTTACTCACATAGTACACCGGCCTCTCTTCTCCCGTAGGCGCCTCTCTTGACACTAATACCGCGCTAACCGCCACGTCCGAGACCGCAATGTATAAATACAGGACCTCCACTGCTTTGGGTGCCGTCATGACCGTGGGCGCCGCTAGTAGGCGCTTCAGGTCTTCGAACGCCTCGCTACACGCCTCGTCCCATTGGAAGCGAACTGCCTTCTTGAGGACCCTGAAGAAGGGGGCCGCCTTGTCGGCCGACCTTGGTATGAAGCGCCCCAGGGCTGCAAGTCGCCCCGCTAGGCCTTGTACCTCCTTAGGCGTCCTTGGCGGTGCGAGTCTGATGATGGCCTCTACTTGCTTCGGGTTTGCTTCAATCCCTCTCTTAGTGATCATGAAGCCCAAAAACTTGCCTGCCTCCGCGCCGAAGACGCATTTCAGGGGGTTGAGCCGAAGATTGTGAAGGCGCATGGTTTCAAAAGTCTCCCTCAAATCACCTAGGTGATCTCCCCGACTGTGGCTCTTGACTATCAAATCGTCCACATATGCCTCCACATTCCGCCCAATCTGTCGTTGGAAGATCGTATTCACCATGCGTTGATACGTGGCGCCCGCATTCTTTAGTCCAAATGCCATGACCCTATAGCAAAAGTTCCCAAAGGGCGTCATGAATGCGGTCTTCAACCGATCTTCTTCAGCCATGGGGATCTGATGGTACCCGGAAAACATGTCGAGGAAACTAAGCATCTCGTGATAAGCCGTGGCGTCCACTAGCAGGTCGATGCGGGGCATCGGGTATGCGTCCGTCTGGCACGCCTTGTTGAGACTTGTGAAATCCACACACATCCTCCAGTCTCCTGCCGGCTTGGGGACAAACACCACATTGGATAACCACGTAACATAGGCTGCCTCCTCGACGAACCCCGCGTCTAGGAGCTTATCCACTTCCACCCTAAGCATGGCCTCCTTCTCTTGAGAAAGATTCCTTCTCTTTTGCTGAACCGGCTTCCTCCCTTCCTCTACCGCCAACCTATGCACAGCCGTTTCAGGCGCTACCCCGTGCATTTCTTTAGCACTCCAAGCGAACAACTCAGCAAACTCCCTCAACAAAGCAACCAACTTCTCAACCATTTCTTTAGTAATTCTTGTGTTTTAACTTTTAACGTAACATAATCAATTACCAATTTTTTTCCTCCTTTTCAAAAGTAACATATAACAACATATATTAGAATCGGGAGAACAAAGAATTACACGTTCCATGAAAATGTCAAAGAAAACTAGAACACAAGAAATGATATAAAAAATTTAACTCATGTTTGCACATTAATTGAACGTTTATATTATTCATTTATTGTTAATTATAATGTATAATAGTTAAATTTGAGGGCAACCTTGGAATATTAAAAGTGCATGAGGGTATATGGGTAAAATCTCATCAAGGATTTATGCCATATTCCAAATCCCACATCAACATGTGGGATTTATAAGTCCGCGGGGTCCACGGATTTGGACCCTTAAAATCTGTGGGCCCCACAGATTTGGTCTCCAAAAAAGGTTCAAGCAAACAACGTATTGTACCTAAATCCTTGATAGTTGGTTTTTTGGTACCAAATCCTTGAAGCAAACGACCCCTAAATGATGGACTTAAAAGTCCATGATCAATTCCCACCTACTAAAGAAGTGGAACTTTCAAGTCCGTGTGGGGTTCATGGATTTGGACCCTTAAAGTTTGTGGGACCCACGGATTTGTTGCCCCTAAATACATGAGGCAAACAATGGTTTTTGGACAAAGTCCATGATAAATCCAAATCCATCATCAAATCCATCAAACAAACAACTCCAGAGAAGAAACGGAAGAAGGGAAGAGATGAGTGATGAGAAGTTATTGATGCAAGAAATTGGGACGATGTTTGTTGAAAAGTCAAAGACATGTTGCTCTACTATTCTACTACAGCTAATCAAGTCAAGTATAACTCGATATGTGAAGTAGTATACTGTTATAAACGCGTTGCTACGGATCGAGAAATCGTCGGAATCGATAAAGCAAGAATATGAAAGCGAGAATCGAAAAACACAGACACACGATTTACGTGGTTCACTAACACGATGTGTGTTAGCTAGTCCACAGACGAAAGAGAACCAATTTCACTATATCGAGCAGATTACAGATTATTAGATTATCAATTACACAAAAAATCATTTCAACCTACCATTAACCACATTGCTAATTTATAATCGATTAATGGTATAACATTGACTAAATAAATATCACCACTAATTAGAAATTCAGATTAGTAATTTCCTCTTTCTCCTTCTACTCACTTACCCGCCCTTGTATCGTTTTATATTTTTAAATTTAAACTTTTTGATCCGGCTTCGATTCCCGTGAAAGTAATTCCATTCCGTTCCCAAACATTCCCCTCCCTCCGCCCCTCATCATTCTCCCTCCTGCCCGCCTGTCCCCCTCCCGGCAGAATTTGAAATTATTTTGTGATTAATAATCGTATTAAGAAAGTTAATCCATTGTTAACCCCTCCCGCCCTCATTAACGGTTCCACGTGTCCCCTTATCCTCCCTTCCACGTCACACTTCCCTGTCCTCTTCCCCCTCTCTCTAAGGTCTAATCCTTCCCACCTTTTCCCCTTTCTCTCTCCAGACTCTTTTCTGCAGTAGCGAAAGTAAACAAAAGCTTCATCTCTCTCTCGCTCCCTATTTCTAGGGTTCCCTTTCCCTCTTTACAATTTTCCCCTCCCACCACTGCGCACCACCACCACCACAATTCCGGTCTCACTTGACGGCAATCGGAGCCTTTTCCATTTCTGATGGGGTCGATTCCTGATCCAGGCGAGGTCACCGCCGACCTAACTCCTCCGCCGCCGAGCTTTGACGACTTCCAGCGGCAGACTTCTTTCATGACCAGCTGCACTCTCCTCTGGAAGGAGCTCTCCGACCATTTCACTACTCTCGAGCAAAACCTCCAGAAGACGTCCGATGCCCTGAAGCGCAAAATCCAGGCCCTTGACACCGAGACCAAGGACTCCCTGGCTTCTCTCAAGAAGCGGGAAGTCACAATCGACGGCAGCGTCGAGATCGCCCTCGAGCGACTCGACGACCGCTGCGAGGCTGCTCTCAGGTCAATTGACTCCGATCTCGGCGAGGTCGACGACGGCGACGGGCTTCTCCTTGCTTTGAAGACGTTCTGCTTGAAGATGAGCTCCAGGGAGTTCTTGAGGTTCGTGATCACCAAGAAGAAGGAGCTAGACGCGTTGAGGAGCCAGATTCCGTTGGCGCTGGGTGAGTGCGTGGATCCTCCTAGGTTTGTGCTGGAGGCTATTTCGGAGGTTTTCCCCGTGGATAGAAGAGGGGAGAGGAGCGAGAAAGGGAATGATTTGGGATGGGCTTGTGTTGTGATTCTCGAGAGCTTGATTCTGGTGGTCATGGACCCTGTGATTGGGAAGTCGAGGCTGATGGTTACGCCGACGGTGAAGAAGAGGGCTAGCGAGATTGCGGAGACGTGGAAGAGGAGCTTGGAGGAACGCGGCGGGATTGAGAATGTTAAGACGCCCGATGTTCATACTTTCTTGCAGCATTTGGTCACTTTTGGGATTGTGAGGAAGGAGGACTTTGATTTGTACAGGAAGCTTGTGGTTGGGTCCGCTTGGCGCAAGCAGATGCCAAAGCTTGCTGTCTCTCTTGGCTTGGGTGGTGAAATGCCTGGTATTATTTTCTTTCCAGCCTTAATTGCCATTTCTATACTTGCTTTCTTAAGCTCTGTGATGGTCAGTTCCTTAATGAACTGAGTGTTAATCCATCTGTTGGGAAGTTTTCACTTGGATTCCATCGGCTGCTCTGTTGTTGTTACCTGTTGCTGAAAATGTGAGACAGGCTCGTCGTTGATGCTGTTTACCCAAGCCATAATCTAATGATGGGCCTGGAATTTGGGAATTGTGTTTCTTATTGGCACAGGGTAGGATTATTGCTTTTTGATTTCTAGGTTTAAGTGTTCATGTGAGCATAATGTGGTGAAAGTATGCCCTTTTTCTGACTGATACAGAAAGCTTTGGTTCTTGGAGTTGATCCATGGATATGCAACTTCTTTGTGTGATTCACTCCAGTGAATGGTTATTGGGATGATTGTTAAAATGTGGTAGCGTTCATTGTTTGCGTCTTCTGGATTGTATTGAGCTGCTCTTTTCGATTGCAGATATGATCAAAGAACTTATTGGTAGGGGTCAGCAACTCGATGCAGTGCATTTTACTTACGAGGTCGGCCTGGTTGACAAGTTCCCCCCTGCACCCTTGTTGAAGGCCTTTTTAAGGGATGCAAAGAAGGCTGCAGCTTCTATAATGGAGGATCCTGATAATCCTGGAAGGGCTACGGTATTTCCCGACACTTGAATCCTCTTCTAGTTGTTGGTTCTTGTGTCCTTTCCTTTCACTACATTGGTTTTCAGTGATGATTGAAGTCTGAAATCAGTGTACCAACCAGCCAGTATAGCAGATTAGCAGCAATATGTTAATACACTTTCAATGCCTCAACTACAAACTCTTTTTGAAGTTTGATTAGTTTAAAAGAGTTTGTAGTTGAGTCATTGAAAGTGGATTAACATATTGCTGCTAATCTGCTATACTCTGGTCCAATTTGGAGAAGCTTCAAGTACAATACATTTCTTAAATGGTGAAGCATGCATGCTTTGGTTATAGTACTGCTTTGCCCTCTTTTATCTTTTGTCATGTGATGAGCAGCTGGAACCAACACCACTTTACATAATGTGCTTGGCTAGTGTGACCTGTAAATAACACTGCTAGAACTAATTTCTTCCAACCTGGTGTTAAAAGTTCTGTTCCTTGACGATGTTTATTCTTTTGTGTTATTGTTGAATTTTTTTTAATCTTATAACTCCATTGGATATTCCCTCTACTGTCTTCTTTTTCACGTCTGCTTCCTCATGGTTCAAGTTTTTCAGTATTTCATGAACAGTTAGTTGGGTTAATTATTAATCATCTGCTAATATCATTGATTTCTGACTCCTTTGTATAACCTATTTTGCAGCAACTTGCTATGAGGAACGAACAGTCAGCACTCCGTGCTGTCATCAAGTGCATCGAGGAATACAATCTAGAAGCCGAGTTCCCACCAGAGAACCTCAAGAAACGCCTGGAACAGCTGGAGAAGGTGAAGACAGAGAAGAAGAAGCCAGTTCCAGCTGCCATCCCTGCCAACAAGAGAACTCGTGCTAGCACCGCCGGTCCAATGCCACCAGCCAAGGCCGGGCGTCTGACCAATGCCTACGTATCATCTTTCCCCTCGCAGCCGCCAACATTTGTTAGGTCGCCTTCTCACTACCCGCAGTACCCAGCTGCTGGCATCCCAGCATACGCATCTCCGCCGCCACCACCAACCGTCTATGGCACTCTGAGCCCACAACCCCCGTACGCTGCGTATTCCCCTGAAGCAGTCCACCACCTGATTCCCGGATCATATACATTGAATTACGCGCCACCACAGGCAGCATATGGAGGATACCCGAGTCGGTTCGCTCCAGCTTATCATCAGCAGGCTTACTACTGAATAGACATCATCATCATGACTAGGTCTGTCATTGAAGAAGATGGTAACCCACTGATAATATGATGACTACTTCCACTCTCCACCACTGCCCGTTCAGCAATCCCGCTTATTTCCTTCTTTTCTTTCGGTCCTTTCTTCTTCTTGCTAAACCTGGATGGTTTGTGTGTAATAGCTAACTGTTTTAGTCTTAGCTATCAGCCCCTCCCTTCCCCTGGTGTGTGTTTTAATTACAAATGTCGCCTCTGGTGCACTTCTTACTTTTCTCCCATGGCGACAAGCTATATTTCTAATGAAACTCTAGCTTTAGGTTTATTGTGCATAGTAATCTTCCAACTTCTTAATTCTGCATCCATCTCTTCATCTCTCTGTTTTCTCATGTCTGCTGGGACTTCATTGGGAGGCAAAAGTGAATGTAATGTAAAGTCTGCATCAGAGAAAGCATGTGGCTAAGGCTGGCTGGCCGGCTGGTTGGCAGCTTTAGCATGGTGGTTAATGCCCTTTTTCCAGCAAAAAAAAGCACTGATTGTTTCTTTGACGGAGTTGCTTCAAGTTAAAGATAAGATCTTTTGTCTGTGGGAGACATGTTTTCCCAGATCTCTGTTTCTCGACCGCCCAGTAGATTCCAAGGATTTGATGAATAATTGAATCATGTCACGGTCGAGGTATGTGCCATCATGGATTGGATTGGGAGTTGGGACCATGCCCCAATCCCACGCACCCACTACTGTGGGTTGAGCTTACCTTTCCTGATGTCCATGGACTCTCGACAACGGGCCCATATCGTGTTAATCCTTAACATCTTAAGTTATAATAGGCCGGGATCTCTGGGCTATCTTTTAGTCTAACCCACAGGCCACAAGGGCGAGCTAAAGCGTGGAAATTGGAATCGCGGTAAGAGGGGTTGGAAGATTGCACGCCAAGTGTTCGATCATTTGCCTGAGAGAAAGTAGTTGCATTCCCGCTTTGCTCTAACCATGGCGACGTTCTCATTGAGACGAGGTAGCTGCTTGCTATCACGAGCTTGCTTCCGCTACCTACCGGGAGCGTGTAATTTCTGCTCCAAGGCTTCCGCGATTGGCAACGTCATAGATGGCTGGACCAGAGAAGTGCCAGCTGAGAGACGTCCTTCGACCCGGTCGAGCAGCAGCAACGTTCATCTTTCTCCTTTGTTCAGAGATCCTACCTCACACTTGGATCGCTATGACATCGAGCTCGTGGACAATGATGCTTGCCAGGTAACATCCGGGATAGCCCATGCGTTTGGTGGATTGGGTAAGAAATCGGAACCACAAACTGTAAGTGAAGCAGCTCATCACCTCGTTAATGGGCACTCCTCCATTTCTTCTCTGGATGACCCCGATTTTGATGAGATTGATAACATGAGAATCCGGGGAAATCTGTTCTACAAGCTTGATCAGGACTCGAAAGAGTATCAGGAGTATAGCTTTGATTTCCACCGAAGGAAGAAGAAAGGCGATGAAGCTAGAGACAGCGGAAAGAAGGAATCTTCAACGAAGAATGAACAACCCAAGGAAAGCAAAAAGAACCAAGATTCGTCCCTTGTGGAAGCCAAAAGAACAACCTTGATTGTTAAGAACGGCAAGGCCTATACTTTGATGGACTGTGGCTCTGATGTCCCTGATAGTGTGGCGGAGAAGAAGAAGAAGGTTCGGACTCTGACATTCAATCAGCTCACAGCTCCATACCACGAGCCATTCTGTCTCGACATTCAGATATCAAACGCATCGGCTCGTGCATCCGTCATTCACCGAGGTACAAGTAAAGTAGTGGCTGTGGCACATTCGATATCCAAGGACATCAAATTCGACATGGGTTCTACAAGAAATGAAGCCACTTGCCGTGCTGTTGGGCAGATTCTGGCGCAGAGGGCACTGGAAGACGATATCCACAACCTGGTTTACACTCCAAGAAGCGGGGAGAGACTGGAAGGGAAGCTTCAGATTGTGCTTCAGTCCATTATTGACAGTGGTCTTTCTGTGAAAGTAAAGCTCAAGCAGAGGAAACACAAGAAGAAGCTTAGCCTCCCACAATATTCCTCCTAGGAAAGCCTCATAGCATCCCCACATTGTGTAAAGGTTACCACTTTATTCCTTATTTGTGCCTATGAAGAATCTTTGTTAGAAAAAGTTCTTCCTCAATGAAAGTTCTGTTTTGGATGTTACACAGAAGAGATTTACACTGGACCACAATCTCCAACTTCAAATTTCACTCCACAGTCATTAGCCATTGCAAAAGCTGCACTGCGAGCAAATCTTCTTCGGGAATGGTTCTAATGTGGCAATCCGAAGTCGGGTATGCGGCACAGAGCAGTGCGTAGCCGCGCTCCACCACGTCGTCACTGAGCATGCCATCACTCTGATCGACCGAGCCGATCGTTCACTACCTTAGCGGGGCAAGTCATGCACACTCCAAGCTTGCAGTCATGGGGTACAGTACAGCAAACCCGGAGTCCAGTGCCTTGGACAGTATGGTCTCGTCTGGATCGACTTGGAGCTCCGTGGACTTGCCCTGATGTTCAATCACCACTTTGTATGGGCGAACCACGTTGGAATGGTCTTCCAGTTCTGTAGTTGAGTCTAGAGGAAGGGAAGTTGATGCTGTGGTTTTGTTTGATGGTAGGGATGAAAGGTGATGGAGCGAAATGGAGGCTGTGAGTTGCCATGGCCGATGTGGGAAATGGAATACGGAAAAGAGTTTTTTGTCTTTTGGGGTGGTGCAGATTTTGATAAAAGAGATGAGGCTTTTTCACATCTTCTGCCTCTCGAGTCTGAGTCTAGAAGTCTAGACTGAACTTTGCAATTTTGAGTAGGGATGACAATTTTGACCTGACCCGTTTTACCTGATCCGTTTGACCTGTTTTGGGTGGGTCCGACTCGCCCGGTAGGCGGAGCGGGACGGGCATGGGTAGTCTCATCAACCCGACCTGCCCTGACCTGCCCCATTCTCGAGCCGTTCTTGTCTACATTACATGAAATCTTAGTCAAATTACTTTGAATTTTACTTTTATCGCATCATATTTTAGCTACAATAAAGTTGTAAATTAGTGAAAACCTCAATTTCTCCAATAATTTAACTACAATTGCCATAATATTGTTTATTTTCTTAGTTTTATAATAAAAATAACGAATATTTTGAATGTTTTTCGAATAAATTACATACTCATTGGGTCGACCTGCCCCGATCCGCGACCGGTGATCAATTATCCGACCTGAACCTGCCCTGCCACGGAACGGGTCTGGGTACCAAGAAATCCGCCCCGACCTGCCCATTGTCATTCCTAATTCTGAGGATGGAAATGGTTAATAGCTTAATTAAATGTTACGTCACCAGATCCGAAACCACGATTTCATTTATTACCCACGACACGAGTAAGTTGGGCTGAAAGTCCATTCCGCTCTCTGGACCTGGGACGTATTGAAAAAAATCAATCTAGTCCAGTCCAAGGAAAACGGTGGAGTAGTATCGTGAGAAGGTCTTCGATCAAAGGCTCTCTCCATTGCAGGCAGCTTCGTCTTGGCAAGAACAGCTCTGAGAAACAACTGAACTGAGGGTTTGTCAAGGAAAAGTCAAGAAATCAAAAGAAGGAGAAGGAGAAGGAGCAGTAGGAATTGGTGTCGTGTCTCGCACTCAGCATCTTACCCTTCTGTACGATTTGCTCTATCAAGTTTGATTCCCAGATTGCTTGTTCTTTTTCTATTCCAATCCCAACGCCGCCTGCGACCTCAATCTTAAACTTCAGGTGAGCTTTCCTTGTTCTTCCTTTTTGCGATGGGGCTGGTATGGTTTCCGGGAGTGGAGATGAGTATGGTTGTTATCTTTAGTACACAGTTGGCTGGATGAATCGTCATAGCAGTTTTTACTTTGAAGTGGCTAGGTTAGGGATGCCCTCGCTAAGGGCCGTAGTCAGCTGATGTCTTAATAGATCCTCGTCAGTGATCGTTTTCTTCTCTTCATTCCTCAGTATAGGGTAGGGTAGGGTATAGATAGTGACTTGGATTGAAGTTGTGGAGTTATTCCCCTGGAAGATCTATGCGGAATTTTTTGCCTGTAGTTAGTTGTGGGGTTTCAGCGCAGCTAATTGCTTCTTGTGGGCACTGACTAGGCAGGCATTGCCTTTGGCTTGTCAGGTTTCTGAAGTAGTGCAGGGCTATGGCTGGGTTTTTTTTGTCGTTTGAATGGCTGGCAGTTCAGGGCAGAAATGAGAGACGACGGTAGTTCAATGTTAATGGGAGATAAGTCCTAGAAACCCTGGTGCCAACTTCTGTTGGCCATTTGATGCTGCTAATGGGAGATAAGTCCTAGAAGAAGGCTATCCTGACTCCTTACTACATTTGTCAGTTCGCATGATTTGATAGCGTCCCTGAATCAAATGAAAAACACTTACCAATGTGGTTCAATCCCACTGACATCTTTTGTGTGCCAAGCAATTCCTGGGATTCGGTCTCTCATAGTTTTGCTAATTGCGGTCATGATGATGGATGTTGTGTTTTTAGGATATACAGGGAATGTTTTTCCTAGATTTTATATTACACCTGGTTCTTTGTTTGTAGCTATGATTGTGATGCTCCAGTGATTGTTTTTGCAAGCATTTTTTATAAATGCAACTTATGGAGATTGAATCAGGTGAGAAAATGCTGATCTTTTGATTAATCTTGCTCTTTCATTCACAGAGAAATGGCTGGAAGATCCGAAATGCAAGGGAGAGAGCCGGTAAACGAGCAGATGGTAGCAAACATGTACACATCCATGAGAACTGAGCTAAACCAGATATACTCCAAAATCACTGAACTGGAGATGGAAGTGAGCGAGCACTCATTGGTCATTAATGCCATCCAACCCCTCGACCCTACCAGGCGCTGCTACCGCATGATCGGAGGGGTGCTCGTAGAGAGGAACATCAAGGAGGTCCTGCCAGCAGTGCAGCGTAACAAAGAAGGGATCGAGGAAGTTGTTGCCAGGCTGAACGAAGCCCTGGAAAAGAAGAAGAAGGAGATCGCCGACTTTGAAGCTAAATACAAGATCAGGATGAGGAAAGCTGATAGTGACATGAAGGATGAAGAAGGTAGCAAGAAGGAAGGCGGCTCTCAGGGCGTCCTCGTGGGCCCTGCAGGCTCAGCGGACTGAATCATTCAGACGCAAGTTCCATCCTTGTTTTCGTGATCGCCTGTTCGCATCGCCATGCTGCACACCATCTTAGATCGAATAACTCAGTTTCAGTTGTCAATCACTTTTCACGATCCAAATTTGTTTGAGGTATTGTCTGAGGGAATTTCTAAAGCCCGTCTGCGTTTGTTACTAGTGAGACACTGCAAGTTCGATTCCGATACAGGAAGGAGATGGAGTAAGGAAAGGAAATGCGAGCTATCGCCATTTTTCGGTAGAGCTCAACGCCTCAGACTGAATGAATATAAACAGGATTACGAATTTCAGGGTTCGTATGATAACTTGATCAAGCAGAAAAGTAATAATACAATCGACACTCCTGAGGCTGTGGGAAAAGTAGAGAATAACAATCGTGGTTTCCTCTTCTTAGCTGAAGAAATCCTGAACGCCTCTACCGGCGAACACCTTATCGGAGAGCTCGGCCAGCAAGGCATTGACGGTGAGCAAAGCGACGCTGGAGCCAGCAATGACGCCCAGCACCACGCCGGTGGTTCCCAAAACTTTACCGAAGGACGGCCACTCTATCTCTCGAATCTCCTCCGCCACTCCGCTCCACAGATCCCCGCCGCCACCGGCGCTGCCTTCCGCTTTCTTCCTCTCCATCATCGCCTGCCTTATCTCTTCTCCCAAATCGCTCTGCTCCTCTTTCTCGCTCGGCGTCGCCGCCGCCCTGGAGTCATTCAATTGCTCCGATTCCGTTTGCTCCTCCTGGCTCTCTTCGACTGCTCTCGTTACAGTTCGCAGTTTCAGAAGCCGGGAGCTGAAGGAGGTAGAGATATGGATGGTTAGGGATTTGAATCGGAGAGGAAGGGAGGGGGGATGGAGATTGGAGGGAGATGGATGAAGAGGTGGATTCAGGGCAAGTTTCAGCGACAGTGTGTTGGAGAGCGCCATTTCTGCGTTGGGCGAACTCCTAGCTGAATGACAGTGGCGGATAAGAGAATGAGAGCCGATAGATTTCGTGGGCTGGCTGGGCTCATTGGTCTTTGTTGGGTGGACCTCAATTACCTCGGCCCATTTCGTAATTAGATTTGATCTGAACTGCCAGTTTTGTACTATGGTGTTGTGCCGAGCCAATGCTCAAATGGTTACCATGGTAATTACCAAATCAAAAATTTATTAACTATGAAATACAATATTATAACCAAACTGTCAAAACTAATATAACAACCAAATTAACTAAACTAAAGTTTAATCGGTTTGGTTAATTGGTTAACCAGAATAACCAATATAACATCACATTATCATTAACTGATGAAATCTCTGGTAATGCATCAATTCACAATTTATATAAGGAATAAAACATAACAATCAATACACAGTTAACTCTTAACAAAAATATATGTAACTAATGCAATTATCAATGGTATGGGGTTAATGAATTGTTGTGTTTTGTAAATTGACTTATTCTCTTAGCAATTATCATAGGCTTAAATAGACGTTCATTTCAAGTTTTCATCTAACATACTGTATGAGTTTTATCTAAAATAGAAGTCCAGATGTTGTGGTCTACACTATACAAATACAAATACACAATATAGAAACAATATTGAACTTTATATTTTATGAGACTAAGAGGGAGGAACGTTTGACACTTTAGTGGTTACACAAAGTATGAAATATGTGTATATAATATTTATGACATATATGTCTAATTACTTAACTGGTTAATTTAGTTTGACTGGTTAGATGTGTTTGAAATCAAACCAAACCACCTAAATCAAACAAGCTAAAAAATGTAACCAAACAAACCGTTATCCAAATGAACCAAACCAAATTATCCAAATATAACCGGTTAAAATGGTTACCATGGTATCCACACAATTTGAACACCCCTTAATATGTCGAAATATTTCACTTTTCAGTATTCAAGAATTTC